TCAAGTGCATGCTGATATTCAGTACCGTTGTCTCCCAGGTATACTTCAGAGTCCGTTTGAAAAGAATTGACTGCGGTTATGAATTGAGTCAGCTCCTCGCTGGTAGAGGAGGTGGCGCCGATACAGACGTCGATGTAGCGACCGTAGAGTTCAAGTTTGGAGCCGTTGTATTAGCTGAAAAATTGGTGTTTGACAAAACCTACAAAAAGATTGGCATAGCTAGGTCCCATTTTGGTACCCACGGCTACACCATTGGTTTGTTTGAAAAAGTTGTTCCCGAATGAAAAACAATTGAGTGTGAGCACTAGTTCGGCAGTCTAAATCCCACAGGTATCAACGAACGCTTTTCATTCCGCTAATTTATTCGTGTTTTTCTCGTTGCCATGTTCCCACCAATAACGTAGCTCCATTTTCTGCCTTTAAAAGCACACACAACCACAATTCCTCTATTCGCTCCGACGAAAGGCTAACGCTCGAAACGTGAGCTTTTATAATCGTAACGGTGGCCAATTTACCATTTCAACTTTGTTGATATATTCAAATTATTTCGTTACCCCCACCGACGTAGCTCCAAACAGTTTCTTTAGAAACTATCAGCCTGAATTACAATATGTTTGATGTAATGATCACCTGGATTTCAAGCGAAAAATGAAGAAAAAAAAAAAACCGTTGTCGAATTTCTCAGTACCCGGCTGGGATACGCGGGAACTTTCACCAATTTTTAGATTGTTTTAAATACCCAGAATCCCCACTTAAATCAAGCTAGCTGAATAAAATACCTAAGAAAATTTTTTTACCCAAAAAGTTCCAAAATCGAAAATTTTAAGACCCCCCAAAAATCCTTCGATCATTTCCTGAGTACTCTCTCCCTTATGAATGTCAATTTTCACATATATCAAATGATATGGCCCTGGAAACGAGGTTGGTATCAATCTCTGATGTGAACACTCACCCTGGTTACGCTTCACTTTCTGCTGTGCCTTTTTGGAACGGAAGCATTCCCATAGAATGCCCATCAGGATCAAGGCTGATAAAACTCCTAATGATATGTAGAGCACAAGTTTCAACTTGGTGAATTGGTCACCGAAAACACTCGCCGTCTTCTCAGGATTTTGAAGTTTCAACTGTTAGAGGGGAATAATAATGCTTTTAAGTTCTTATCAAGAAAAAAGAAGGTAAACGGTCAAAGCTAACTGCTTGTTGCGAATATGTAATAGGCGAGGGGAAATATAAGCCTTTGACTAAATGAACTTAACAGGTGTAAAACAACTTTCCTAAAAACAAGTTATCTAATAAAATATCTCACGTGCGCTTATGCGATAGAGAGCAATGAGAGTGATAACTTTCTCTAATTTCCATGAACATTCTAGTCCAATATTCAAGCGCTTAAATATTGTTAAACTGCCTGACCTTGTCTTCTCTACTGCAGCCTTTTTGTATAAATTTCACAATAGACGTTTACCATGTGTTTGATACTTTTTTCATTCAAGTAAATAAAAAACATAACTACAACACTAGAAGTACTTCGAATTTGTCCTATTCTTTACCTAAAGTAAGAACAAATTATTGAATATTTAATTTAAGATTTAAGGGCCCCAAAGTATGGAACTCAATAGGTGAAAATTTGAAAACTTTATCAATCTCAAACTTCAATGAGTCAGTAAAATGCGATCTAGTCAAAGACTATTGGCTACTTATGTGCTTATTAGCAACTTATATACTTATTTACAACGTATGTACTTATTAGCAGCGTATTGTTTTCCAATTTACTGTATTCTAGTCTCCTGTTGATTTCTGTAACCTTTTTAAGTACTTCTTTATTTTGTAGTTTATAATTATATAGCTGTTACTAGTTGCCGTAGACAAAACTTTTTTGCTTAGAGCAAGTATGAATGCTAGTACAAATAAAGATTATCCGTTATTAGATCGCCGGCATTGCCTGTGGACACTGCAAAGCGAATCCTGTGATCTAATTGGCTACCCGAGCGAGCAAGATAGGCCCATCTTGCTCGCTTGGGATTGCCTGCTCTGATCCTGCGCAAGAAAAAATGTACTGCTGCAGAAATAAAAAGTTCGTTCTTTTTAGACGACGGCAGAAGACAGTCAAAACAAAGAAAACTTAAACGACTCTCGTGGATTCATTGTGCTTCAAAAACAATTGGCTTTCTTTCCCCTCTCCCGAGATAAACAAGTCTTATTTCTTAATAAAGTGACGATTTTTTGCGATATAAAGATGGCTGGATGTTAGCCTCGTTCTTTTATCCCATTTTTATGGACCTCGATTTCGTCTCGGTGCATAAGAATGCAATTAAAGAATTCGGCCATTATCTAGCCATCTTGACCTTATGCTTGGTCAATAACTCATGTATATAAATAATTCAAGTTACCTTAAAGGACTGTGTAAGCGACAGACCAAACTGGTAAATATCTGGGCGAAAATACTCCAAACATTCAGCGAAAAACTTTCTTCTCTTTGAGACAAGGAAACCAACTTCTCGTTGAAGATCCATTGTTTTGACGGTGACCAATGATTTCAGTTTATCTTGCTTTTGATAAAAAGAGGCAGTGAGGCGGTCCAACATTATTCCATTTACCTCACGGGCTTCTAAAGCTTGAATGGCGCCATCAATATCTCCAAATACTGAAATAATCAAGCAATTCTAAGTTTCGTCCGTTTTGGCAAGATAAGTATAACTTTAATAGTTTGAAATGCCCACCTTACATGTATATCTCAGTTCAAGACGAACTCTAATAACTAATAAACAACATAGCATCATCCTTGTTAATGAAGAACGAATTCAGTTGTTCTAAGATCAACTGCCAACAAATGCCGTGTTTTTCTGACCTGTTCATCAGTTGTAGTAGTTGCTTAACTGTTCTTGAGTTAATCATTGTAACTATCCAAACGACTACCTTTCTCAGCTCTAATTATACCTGTAGGAATTGCATCTTCTTCAAGTGCATGCTGATATTCAGTACCGTTGTCTAACACTGCAATCTGAAGGAAAAGGAAAAATACTCTACTCTTTATAACTTTAATAATTTGGATATATCAACAAAGTTGAAATGGTAAATTGGCCACCGTGATGATTACAAAAGCTGACGTTTCGAGCGTTAGCCCTTCGTCGGTAGCCCTTCGTCTATTTGCTCCGACGAAGGGCTAACGCTCGAAGGGCTAACGCTCGAAACGTCAGCTTTTGTAATCGTTACGGTGGCCAATTAACCATTTCAACTTTGTTGATATATCCAAATTACTTCGTTACTCCCACCGACCCAGCCTCAAACAGTTTCTTTCGAAACTATGAGCCTTTATCTTAATAACTTTAGATTTGAGCGAGGAGATTACAAAAATATCATGGGCGAAGCTGCTTCAAATATTACACATTCATTGACTGGTTCTAAGGAAAACGGATACTTTGCTTCATTTTGCTTTGTTCGGTCTCAGGAAACGGACACAAATGTTTTGATGTACCATGATAAATAAATCTAGAAGATAATATTTGTGCAACCTTCTTCTACAGAAAATTTCCGTGGAACCAACCAAGTAGCTTAAAAACATTCCTTATTGCTTTTGTGTATCTTTCGGATAATTTGCTTGTACAGATATCTATGTCTATCTCTAGCAACAAACCTTGAGCTCCTTCAGGCTTAGTTCATGTTCCATGGAGAGAGCCGTCAAGGTAGAGGCGATATGAGCCGTGAAGATTGACATACTAATGAGACCTAATGTGATCCAAATAACAGAAAATATACGCGCCCTAGCTGACTTTGGAACTTTGTCGCCATACCTGTTAGATAAAAACGGGAAATAATTCTTACAGGTTCATTTGAGTGATCATCAGTCAACATTTCAAGGTATATGGACCACATGATAAGTTTTCTCTTTTCCATTTATTTAAGCAATAAACCACAATTTCTATCGGTTTCCTGACTGATACGTCACTTGGGATGTTAGGAAAACGCGGGAAAAGTTTGGCGCAGCCTCGTGGTTTACAAAGTTTTCTTGCGTTCTTCCAACATCGTGCGTGTTTAATTAGCCGGTCAAAAGATAGAAAGTGTGGTTTATTGCTTAATTCACCCACCCAACAGTTGTCATGGAAATAAAAGACCACCAAAAGCCGTCCCAGGAGCCTTTGAGGAATGGACGATTAAATTCCTCGGGGTTCCAGTAGGTGTCCTACGGGTCAAACAAAAACAAATACAAGGGCACCAATGAGATAAAGATGAACGAAAGAATAAAAAACAAAGTCAAAAAATAGAGCCGTGATATGAAAGTCACAATGGTTTTGCAAAATAATACAGAAACGTTGAAGGAACTTTTAAAATGTAAAATATTGAATGATGTGAAACTTACCAATGCCCAAACAAATATACCAGCAATTGCCGCGAGAACAAGATTGATGCCGAACAAAGGCCAGGCGCTCAAAACAGCATTGAGCACAACATCTTCTCTGTTTTCGATAGAAATGTATACTGTGCCCGGATAATCATGGGTTTGAATAAAATAAAACTCACTGTAATGTCTATGGCTCGTGGGTTCGAATATCGGAGCAGCAACGTGGATTTTGTTGTGCCTCAGAAGGCTAATCATTTCAAATTCGCTGCTAGCATGGCGATCTTGGAGGAATGTTGCACCACAACGGGTAAAGAATTTCAGTACCACTTCTTCTCCCATCCCCGACGGTGTCGTAGCGTTGGGAACTGCGTACAAATAGGGTGGCTTATGAATCCAGCCTATTATTAATTTTTGGAAATTCAGCGTCGCTGAAGGAGATGAAGTGTTAAGCCATTCGTTTCTTGTCGTGTAATTTCGTTAGACGGAGGCGTTCCAAAGGGCAGCAGTGCACAATTGCAATCTCGCTGTCCAAGAAATCACTATAAAAACTGACACTGACATTTTCAATCTTTCCCTCAATGTTCTGTTGAAAGAGGAAATATTATCATGATGAAATCGATTATAAATAGTGCAGGGTTATTTGTGCATGGGACTAAGCAAAACTAAAACTAGAAAACATCGAATGAATTCTCCGCTAAAGCAAAAAGAAAAGAAAGGTGAGTAAAATACTTTGGCAACACCACATCTGTTACTGAAAAATTAGAAGGCACAGGCATGTGATAGTTATTATAAATTAAAAGAAATGGTCTATGTGGGGGAAAATGCACAAAGGTGTACTAAATCATAGAAAATGAATTGACTATTCATATCCCATAGAAACTTGCTATTTTAATCAGTTAGGTCCACAATGGTGGTAAAACCTTTTTTTTTAGTTCTCTTGTAAATGGGTATAAGCCTAAGGTTGATGAATGACAGAAATAAGGTTAGCGTAAAAGTTAAACCAATTGATCTGTTATGGTGGCAGTTTCTCCTTCAAAACTTTAGGTATTCTCAGTTTATAACCATAGTTTCCTGAATGAGAAAAAATTAAATTGCAAAATTGAAAGACGAAAAGTAATAAAACAGTGAATGCCCGACCTTCCATCTCCAATTTAAAAATCGTTTTATCAACGATACTCAACCACTCATTCTTCTTACCGAAAAATGCTCCTTTTAATTGACTTGCCGTTATCCTCGCAGATGCACATGAAGTTGAACTCTTCGACGTTGCGTTTTTTGACAAATTTTGCTGGTGTTTAATTATTCATATGGATATTGTTTACATACTGGTTTTCTAAAGGCAAGCATCCTGTTTTAGATCCTCGGACTAACACTTACCTCGTAAGTTTTAATATGGTGCATAAATAGAGCTAAATAAAACCTTTATCAAAGGATTTGAGAAGGATGGTGTGACTCTTCCGGGCACAGATTGCAATGCTAAGTTCAAAGCAACTTTTAAAAGGCGGTTGGAATCTCGTAAAGTTAAGAAAACAACGTTCAATTTATGCACCAAGTTTATGTTATGCATTGAATACCTGATAATAAATTTACACTTGAATAAAGGGGCACTGAAACGCTCTGTCAAGTTAATCACATCTAAGACAAAAAGGAAGAACTGAATAGCAGGACGCATGTAATTGAGCTGAATAAATTTAATTTAAATTTGTTTTGTTTTTTTGTTTTGTTTTGAAAAGGACTGAAGTAATGGAGATAGAGATATCATGAATTAGTCATTTGGCGTAATACCACCTTATTTAATAACAGAACAGCGCAAGCCTTTGAAGGGCTAACGCTCGAAACATCAGCTTTTTTATTCGTTACGGTGGCCAATTTTACAATTTTAACTGAGTTGATATAACCAAATTACCTTGTTACCCCCACGACGCAGCATCACAGTTCCTCAAGCCTTTGAATAATTTGAGAACCTACAAAACCCGGTTTTCTGAAAAAAGCTGTGGTTGAAAAATGTCTCTTACATTTTCTACATTGAATATTTAATAGTTTAAATTACCTCGCGCACTATATAATTATATATATATATGTATAACTAGTTAACAGGCCTCGAGCCGACAGAGACGCCGCGCCAGAAGGATCCAAAAGGATTCATAGTCCAAACCTCGATAAATGATAGGAGAAGTAGTATGGCACACGAGGAAGGACAACTTTGAGCGAAGAAAGACATAAAAAATCTAAAAGTTTGATAAAAAACGTTTTGGTCCAAGACCTTCATCAGTTGTAATACAATAACTTACAATCTCCTTAAATAGGTTTACAGGGAGGGCGTGATGACACGTATTAACAAAAACAGTATAACTACGCGAAAGATTATCACAATCTGCAAAATTACCACAATCTACGAGAAAAGCAAACATAGAAATTAAAAGATTGTCGAATCTACTGAAAGTGTTAAGGAACCAGCGTTGAAATAAGGCGAGAATTGTACCAAATTTCCCAATCAAAACTGAGACCGGGACCTTTGATGCCCCCCCAATTAGAAAAATTCTCCACATTAATCATAGTTTATTCTTTTTTTCGGAGTGAAATTCCTGGCGCTTATTCGAGCCAAAAGGTGGCAGAGAGAGCAACTGTGCGCTCCAATATGCTTCTTTGGTAATTAAAAGTTTCTCGATGTTACTTGAATTGTTTACGATTGCCTGCGCTTGATCAATGCATTGGAATGAGAAATCGCTTAAATCATGTGGTCTTTTATTAAAATGTACCGCTACTTCACAGGTCTTTTTCTTAGTGACCATAGCAGACTTATGGTTGCGAAATCTAACTCTAAAATAATTTATAGTGGAATCAATGTATTGTAGGCGACATTTCTTGCACGAAGCCAAATAAATGATGTTCTTAGAGTCATGGCAGGGAAGTTTCGATCGTATCTTGTAACTCTTGCCTGTTTGAAAACTTAAAATGGAATTCGATTCAACCAAGAAGTTGCGACAAAGATCGTATAGTCTTGTTCTATTACATTTAAAACATCCCTTAACCTCAGCAGCTCCTTCGCATTCGATTTTAGGGCCAAAACGGGTTGGCGCCAACAATTCTTTGAGGCTTTTAGATCTGCGGAAGGATGCTATGATGGAGTTTGAAGGAAAAAGCTCTTTTAACTTGGAATTGGATTCCAAAATACCTAGATGTTTTCTAATGATGCGACTTACGTCAGATAAATTTGGATTAAATGTGGTCACAAATGGGAATAATTTCCTCTTAGATTTGGCATGAGTCCCAAGTAGATCACTTCTAGGTATGGTAGAGGCCTTACGAAACTGATAATCTACTAATTTAGAAGGGTAACCTTGATTAACCAGATAACCCTTGTATTCAGTTATTCTCTGGGCAAGAAAAGCTTGTTGAGAGCAATTTCTTTGTAACCTCGTCGCCACGCTATAAGGAATAGCTTTGAAAACGTGTTTAGGATGGGCACTTGATGGGGGGAGATACAGGTGACTATCAGTTGGTTTTGAATAAACGTCTGTCCGGATAAAACCCTCGATAAGATGTAGAGTAAAACTGATCTAGCACATGGACTCTCGTTCAGAAAAAACTAATTCGACATTTTATAGTGGGGTATAAAGAGTTTATAAATTCAGTAAACTCATGTAGTGCCGGAAGGCCTTGTTGCCAGAGATAAAAAACATTATCACGGTGTCGCCACCACAAAGCCGGCTTTATGGGGCCAGAAAACAGCCTGAAAATCTATTTCACCCATGGCAAGATCTGCATAACTGCAGGCGCTCTTAGGGCCCATGGCTGTGCCATGAATTTGTAAGAAAAGGTTTTCTTTAAAAACTGAATGATTACTCTTAAAGAAAATGCAAGAAATGTCGCCTAAAATACATTGGTTCCACTACAAATGATTTTAGAGTTAGATTTCGCAACCATAAGTCTGCTATGGTCACTAAGAAAAATACCTGTGAAGTAGCGGTACATTTTAATAAAACACCACATGATTTAAGCGTTAAATTCCGCAACCGTAAGTCTGCTATGGTCATATATATATATATATATATATATTTGAGCTGATGCGGCTTCTGAGGTCATTGACTCCGTGATGAGGATCCCCGTAATGAAACGTCGTATAGTGGTTACCAAGCTGGAAAGTCCCACATGAAGACCAGATGAAATTGAGATCATGATTGAGATTGCAATTTTAAGTGAAATTGTCCCGGTTGTTCATTTTGCTTAAGGAGAGACCCATTTGGGGAACTTGTGCTAATACAAGGTCAGACTAATGTTATTTTATGTACATGATATGTATGAAATTTGGCCACTTCAGTCACGATCTGAGAACTTCAGCTTCGAGTTTCTTGAATTGCTCTTGGATTTGAGATAGCATTAGTTTTGCCGTTTCCAGTTCCTCTCGGATGGTTTCGCTTCTTCTTAGCTGCCCTTCCTTCACTGGCTCTACTAAGAAACAGAAGTGATGAGAGGGCCTTCAGTCATGTCCGTTATTGCAAAGGAGAAGTCCGTGTGGGAGTATAAGATATTGTCAACGAATTAAGTCGGCTTTGCTTTCTTATGTTTTCAGTTGCGTGCACTCCTTACTGTGGGAGAGGCAGCAGCAGGTAAGCTTGATGCGGCGTTCGAAGAGCTTTTACAAAAGTATTCAACTGAAAAATCACTACTCTACCCAAGAGACAAGTGTTGCTAGAACAAACTACGTTGACTTCTTCAAAGCGATGTAAGGTCGAATGTGCTTTGGAGTCAACTGGCTCATCTACCTGTTTTCTATAGCATGAAACCACCAGAAGGTTTTTTCCCCGAAGCATTTCGTCGAGATTCCTTGAAATCTCTCCACTACTCATTTATTCTCCTTGGTGGAGGGAGGAACTGTGAGAGCAAAGTGTCTTGCCTAACAAAATCACACAATGACCTGGCACCCAGACCTCTCTACTTCAAGTTCAACGCGCTAGTGATTAAACCAGTGCCTCTCCTATTTATCACATGACACTTACCAGAAATTAAGTTATTATTGACTTCAGTCTTGCATTTGTTTCTGAGTATTTGCCAGAGTGTCCCATTTATAAGCAAACCAGCAAGTATGCCGAGGGTTATGTACATAAAACCATTAAGATATGACGACGACGTATCGAACAAATTGACTTTTCTTGTTTTCTTTTTCTCCATGAACTGAGAAAGACAAAAGAAGGTTTTTGATGATCTTGTTGACCCATGAATATAATTTAATGCTCGTCTGTGTCTTGATCCTACATGTTCCCATGTCCCTGGTTCGTGGTAATAATCACACTCTTATTTGTTATAAAGAAAAATTCACGCTTCGAGTAGAAGGAAAGGGCTTTATGAACTCAGAGTAGCTATATGCCCTTGGGCTGACTTGAATTTCAGTTATATGTTAAAACTAGACAAGGACAAGACAGAAAAAAAAAAAAAAGAAAAACTAAATAGAATGGTGCTGAAGTGTTATTAAAATGTGGGGGTGTCCGGATATTTTCTCTTTGGTTTTCTAGTTAGTCTTTTGTTTTTACTACGTAACATTATTCCAGTAACATGTAGTGATGAATTCAAAATTAAATAAGTTTTGTCTGTTAGGGGTGCGCGATTTAGGGAGGTTCCAACTACTCTTTCTATTATATTGAAAAATGAAATTTGGAATATTGTATATATGTTAGGCGTAGACTGCCTCTGCCACATTTAACAAATGGTAAACACCGCAGCGTACACTATTGAGTTATGGATGCACGCGGGAGGTTGCTAAGCACGAAAGAAGCGTAAGAGTCGCTCGAGGCGATAGCCGAGAGCGACTCTAGCTTCTTGAGTGCTTAGCAAACCTCCCAAGTGCATCCATAACTCAATAGTGTACGGGGTGGTGTTTACCATTTGTTTTATAACATAACATTGTGATACATTGTAGCTAAAGAGTTCCCGTTTATTTAACAAATCTTACGTGACCAGAAAAAACAAGCGCGCGCGGAAAAAGAGTCTTTGCATTTGCTCACGTCAGCAGCGTACACCCATGGGCAAATGGGGGACGCTAAATTGACCAATCAGAGCGCGCGCTTTACTTTGGTTATGTTATAATTCACGTTGTAGCTTAAAATTCTGTCTAAAAAATTATAGATATAGGAACGGCCCATACCTTGTAAGAAGAAGTGATAGTTTGAGTCAGCATCATAATGCTTGGACGATGAAACTCCATGCAAGACGCAAGTTCTTTGTTATCCTTAGAAAAAAGCACGCCGACCTCCTTGGGAAAGTTCAAGCTCTTGAGGGAAATATGAGATGCCAAGTCACTTCTGGATTGGTGATAGGAAGCAATGTAGCGATCCAGGAACATTCCTTCCACTTCCTTTGTTTTGACAGCCTTAATGATGTCGTCTATTTTTTCGTAGACTGAACGAAACAAATGAACAAAATGTGGAGGTAGAGAAAAAGTCAATTTAGTATTGAGAACAATAATTAAGTAAAACAGCCTTGGCTAGTCACGGTGTTGATTTCACAAGAAATATAGTCGATGAATACTTTTGTAAAATCCAGATGTATTTTTTCGTTTTTATTTTTTTCAGAAATAAAAATGCATGCTTTCTCATTAGGAGTTAAGTCCAGATAATAATCAATATTGATCAGTTTCTTGAAATTCGTCGAAAAGTTTATCAATATAACTGATTCTACCATTTAGTATTAGCGTCAGTGAGCATAGCTTAAACAGATGCTATCCTATCAATTTCCCTTTAATTTACTTTTGAGTATCGACTTTGACATTAAATGAACTAAGTCACTCTTTATCGAGTCGGGTCGAGTTTACCTAATCATTCTAAGCAACATATGGCAATCGGCGGTCTTCCCTTACACTTAGGTAGCACGGAAAGCCGTAAAACTCTTGAACAAAAGCTCATCTTTCAAACCGGCAGTCTAAATCCCACAGGGATCAACGAACGCTTTTCATTCCACTAATTTATTCGAGTTTTTCTTGTTGCCATGCTCCGAACCAATAACGTAGCTCCATTTTCTGCATTTAAAAGCACACACAACCCACAATTCCTCTATTCGCTCCGACGAAGGGCTAACGCTCGAAACGTCAGCTTTTGTAATCGTTACGGTGGCCATTTTACCATTTCAACTTTGTTGATATATCCAAATTATTTATTGAGGTTACCTTTCGGCTGAGCATTTTGCTCAACTGCATGTTGGTATTCAGTTCCATTGCCCAACACTGCAACCTAGTTACCATGAGAAAAAAAATCAGCAAAGAAATAAATGAATATAAAGGCAAAAAACAAAACAAAATAAAAGAAAAGGAAAAGACGAAAGTAGACTAATTTACAAAAAGTATATTCGGATTTTAAAGGGATCTCACGGAATTCAACCTTAACACCCTCGAGACTGGTTGGTTCCATATCCAGTGAAAGAGCCGTGAGAACGGACGTGATGTGAGCCGAAAAAATCGTCATAAAAATCATTCCAAAAATAATCCATAAAGTGGAGAACAGTCTTGCTGGAATGGACTTTGGAACTTTGTCACCGTATCTGTTTCAAAAGCATATTTTGATTGATAAAGAGAAAACAATCGACATTAAATTATAATAACTAGAAATTGGTTAGGAAAGGTCATTTTCAGCCAACTTCAATGTATATAACGCAATTTGGTGCAAAGAGATATCTTTCCTGACTTTACGTCATTTTTTTAAATCAATTTTTAAGTTGGATTTAGCTTTGAGTTGTATTGAAAGGAAAAGCGATAGCAATGTACTATAAAATATAAAAGATAAAGAAAGCAACATCGTTCTTGAAACATCGTCAGCACCTTCATCTTTAGTATATTAAAGAATACATCAAGAGAATATAAATCTCTTTGTATACTTATATTACCGCAATTTCACTTACGGTTGCTATCACAAAAAGAATAAAATTATTATCCATAAATAGCAAAGCCAAAAAAAAAACGACTTCCAAGGTTATGGTTAAGCAAACATACGTGATAAAATTCGCTAAAACCTGTGATAATTAAATTGAGAATCTAGAAAGAAAAAAAAGAAGTTTGAAAAGAAATAAAACACGTTCTCTCAACTCACCCTACTGTGGTGACAGAGACAAACGACCACCAGAATCCTTGCCAAGACCCTTGAAGGAACTTTCGTGGAAACTCATCTCTGTTCCAATATGTGTCCTTAATTTCGAAAAAAAAAAAACACACAAAGGAAATAGGTGAATCATCCCAAAGATGTTTCGGAGGTCTAATAGAGTTAGTGTAAACACCCACGGAAAATCGTCTTTACATGAAGATCAAGCATTCAGGTGTTTAGGTTGCTTAGATCGATGCTTACAGCAAGTTGACACAATAAAGAACCAAAGTTTTGAATCTGCACTTTAATTTATTCAAATTTTGAGGGTGCAACGATTCAAATTAATCTCAACATTGACTCTCTACTCTATCAAGAAGTTATAGCTGCAACATTAACTTAGCTTGAGTTTTCATAAAAAGTGGTTATTTACTCCGTTGCTTATCGAAATGAAAGTTCTCTCCTCGATGGGCGGGCATTGGTTCTGTGGTTTTCCTCTTCCAAAAGCAGCGCTACAAATTGCAATACCCCTCTAAGCATAGCATAAATATCGAGCCTTTCGCTTCTCGAGAAGTATATGCTATTTTAACCCTATGACAGACTTACCAGAGCCCACATAATGATCCCGGCGATGGCCGTGAGATTCATGGTGATGGCTAACAATGGCCAAGACTTTAAAATCGACTCCAAGACGACACTGAGAGCATTGGTTTCAAAATCATCACGAATGAATTCCGTTCCTGGGTACTCAATAATTTTGAAAAAGTGAAATTCTCCGTATTTCCGAATGTGCTGTTGCTCGAACACAGGACAAGCTAAATCCACCTCATTTTTTCTCAGCATATCTATCAAGGTATGCTCACTATGAACTTGAAACAATTCAAAGTGGTATATAACGGGGGAAACGTATAACAGGCCACATTCCACCACCATGTAACGTAGTAATGTTTCTTGTATCAATCCATGAAACCCTTGGTTATCGGCGATAGAATCGTTCGACAATAAAACTGTGTATGGAGGCTTTAAGATCCATGCTACTCGAATGACTCTAACTGTTGAATTATCTCCCTCCGCGGTGAAAAAAAGGGGATTAAAAATTCGATCAGATCTGTTCATATTGCTTTCCAAAGCAGTGGTGGAGAAATCGGTGGCAAAAATGAGTTGAAATACAACAGCTAAGATCATATTGCGCCGTTCCATCTCCAATTGTTGTTCTTGAGGAACTATGATTATATTGCATACGATAAGTATAGAAACTATGTCAACATCTTACCCATTTTCGGAGAAAAGTCTCTGCGAGAACAGAAACAAGAGAACACGAAAACTCTTTCTTTGAAAATGAAAATTATAGATGGTGTGTACGGATAAGCTTACCGCTAAAGTCGTTTGACTGCTCTCGCTGTCGCTCGGAGTTTAGGACTTTGCTATGTAAATAATTAATCCTTCGATATAGATTTTATTTTTCCCTTTTGTTATCTCGCTAAACGTATGTTGGCTACCTCGGCGGCATCTCCTTCTTTCTTTTATTCAAGTCTTACGAAGGACATGTACCAGCAAAAAATTCCTTCGTAACGTGAGAGAACTTTCATGACTACATTAATGCAATATGAGAGAAACGCTGAGATGGTCGGAAGAAGGTTCAAGAACTGATTATTGTCTATTTTTAATGACAAAGATCTTTCATGCTGGGGCAGGTAATAAGCGTTAAAGGAAACTAAAATTGGTAAACTATGAAAAAAGACTCCGGGGATTGAACTGAATCGTATGAAAAAGATGCAAGGGGTGTTTCAGGCGGAAATTGTAAATAACACTGGAACCCTGGAGAGCAACATAAAATAAAATTGGTTTACTATAAATGAAAACTTTGGGATTTCTATATGAAGATGCTGCCCTGTTTTCTAATTGGAAAATAACAATCAAGAAATTAATACAGAACAAAATTAAAATGTAATAAAACGCAAACTAGGAACCATGTTTATTGTTCGGTTTTTTACTAATTTTGTTGATTATAAACTTTTATGGGGTACAGTTGAGCGAACCACGCTCTGCTGATGTTTTTTCGCTGAGCTTAAATTACTATTACCGTTGACCAAGATGATGATTCTCAGGAGGTGTGGTTGACGAAAGAATTCTTTGCCCTTCCACCCTCCTTACTTTGAGGCTTAATTTCTGCGAAGCAGATGTAAAGCTATGATATCAGTACTGTTATTTCATGCTGTAGTTCCTTTCATTTTGATCTCATGACGCGTGAACGTGACGGGCCTGAAGGGCCTGAAAAAATTACACCTTCAATTTCATCAGTTTTGTCAGGAATCAAAGTGAAAACGTTCTTAATAGCATAATAGTAAATTTAATGAAGTACATAACATGTCTTCGTAATTATGCGGAGAAATTGTTCACTTCAGCTTCAAGGTTGTTGAAGCGTTCTTGCATTTGAAGGAGAAGTTCCCTCGCTGCCTCCAGATTATTGTTTATGCTCAGTCTCGTCGATGCTTTTGTTGCAAAGCTTCCCTCCTCGGCTGTAATTAAAGAATTGTTTGCATCTTGTTACTTCATTGATCCTACTCTCGTTCACATCAATGGCCTATCATAGTTTTACTTCAATTCAATAGTTCTATTTTGGTACAGATGAATAAAGGCTGATAGTTTCTAAGGAAACTGTTTGGGGCTGCGTCGGTGGGGGTAACGAAATAATTTGAATATATCAACAAAGTTGAAATTGTAAATTAGCCACGGTTACGATTATAAAAGCTGACGTTTCGAGCGTTAACCCTTCGTCGGAGCGAAGGGCTCACGCTTTTATAATCGTAACGGTCAGTCGTAAATTTATTCCTTGCTTCGGTGTAGATCGTGTATGAAGATCGCTATTATACCAAAATTTATCTTAATGTATCAAGTTCTCTACTTTAGCTTCACCAACTGAAAAAGAGTAGTTACAGCGAACCAACAATCAAGAATTACCGATAACTAAAAATTTTTATTTCACAATTCTTGGTTCATTAGTGGTGAGTTCAACCTCATCTTAGAGCCATCTAAACCTAACATCGTATAACCATGGTCTTACCAAGTTCATGTTTTCCTTTGATTTTTAGAGACCTTGCTTTCTTTCTCTTTATCTCCCAAATGACCCCCATGATCATCAAAGTCAGCAGAATCCCAAATGATATGTAAATGGAAAACTTTATTACTCTGTTGGATTCATTAAAAAGGCGGACAATTTTGACACTCTTTGGTTGCGTTTGCTGAAATAAAAAAAACCAGTAAGGCAGAGTTGGACAAATCAAAGCCACTGATTTTTGTCAGGAGCCCATTACTAATGGGCTCCTGTTTTTGTTTATCTTATTTCTGAGATGTTCATGCATAATACGCCATTTTTTTTGACGTCGATACCGAACCTAACCTGGACAGTGTTAACGGATACAAAACCCTGTCTCGCCTCGTCTCTCAGACGGACTACCCTAGCCCGATAAAAAGGACTGGTCAAAATAAGGCTTAGTCAATCATTCCAATGTCCATTTCTCTTCCTTGTTTTTGTGCCGGATCAAAGTCTTGATGAATTGTCGGGAACATTGAAATATATATCCATATATCATGGATAATCTGGTTTTCATTATATAGATTATGCGGTCTTCTTGGCTGCAATAACGCCTTTGCAATTTGTTTTTAATTTTCCTCTCCACATCGCAGTTGTTTTTCTTGCATTTCTTTTAAATACATTTACCTTCCTCTTAGTGAGAATTGTGTCTTCCTTAAAATTAATATCCCAATTCAGGCTAATGGTGAATTATGTTCAGTTTTCCAAGACATATTTCCATGTCTATATCCTGACTAGTCTATATTATTGATAAGGCTCCACACATGTCTAAGTTTGATTACAGGTTATCCTGTTTTTATTATTATTTATGATTTTTGCTAACTTCATATGTGAATTCATATCCGAGTAGGCCTTCGCATATATTTATATCGGGCATTACTATGCATGATTTGGTTGAACTTTTTGTTGGATAAGGACATCTGTGATGCCTTCTAAACAGCGAAGAAATCGTCTGGACGGTCGGGCAGTTATGGACAAATCCTCGTCGATAAGAAGCAAAAGAGAGTACGATACCTGTAACGTCTCAGTAACGGCTTTAACCGATCTCCAAATGTTGGCACGTATTAATTTCAAGCAGTTTACAAGTTTATATGATTCCTTTGAGAAGAGCACTCCAATGTCCCTCCGAAATTCCAACTTCTTGACCGTGACAAGAGATTCCAGTTTGCCCTTTAGCTGAAAATGGGAAGCTGTGTAGTGGTCCAATAACATCCCATTTACTTCCTGAGTTCTTACTGATTGAATCATATCGTCAATTTTGTGATAGACTAGAAAGAGAAAAAAATTGCCGTTCTGTTAATCAGTAAGGATCATGACTTTGAGTGTTAAATGCTATAAGATTACCGCTGACCGAGCAGAACAGAGTAAGAAAGCCTTGTGTTTTTGATAGTTCTAGATTTTTGCCCGAGTGTAAGTTGTAATTTAAATGTAAGGGCATAGTCTTTGCAGAATTTATCAAAATCATGGATGCAAAGGAAACTCATTTAGAACTGAGAGGGAAGAAATATTTTTCCTATATTTAACTTCAATCAAAGGTATCATCACAGATCTTGGATGGTAAAGCGAGCATCATCCTTGTATTTAAACGGCTAAATGCAAATTGATTCCGTGAGTTAATTTTCCATCTTAACTTAAGCTAGCTTTGAAAAAAAAAAGAAACAACGTACAGAGAAACAAAAAGACCGGAGTCTGACTCAAAAGAAGTTGTTTCATTTATATACGAAAAGAGACCAACACCGGGAACAATCAGAAAGAAGTCGTAGCCATATACGAATGAGAACATAGTTAATTTTTTTGGTTTTTTACGCTTTATAGGAGCAAAAAAAGAAAAAATGGTACCGATATTTCAATCGGGACCTCAGTGTTTTGACCTAAATTTTTCCAAAGTTTGCAAAAGATAAAAAATCAACGCAAGAAACTAATTTCTAAATGCTTTCGGGGCGGCTGAGCTTGTTAATGTAAAATTCAAGGCCTGTAAAGAGATCGCTTTCTGAATGAGCCTTGCCGTAAAGACAGTTAATAGTTAATACGAATCAAGTGAAGGTTTAAGAATCGTAGCAAGTTTTTTCACAAAAATTACTAGATTACTTTGTTTATCTGTGATTAAAATTTGCAATTTATTCAGTTGAAATACCTTCTGGGTGAGTTCCTTCATGCAGTGCGTGTTGGTATTCTGTTCCATTTCCTAACACCGCAACCTAAAACGCATTTCAAGTAATCTATATTACCTGTCATTTTGGTGTTTTGTATCATCCACAGTTTAAAACAAGATTTTTTTCATTTATTTGTTCATGAAATATAGGAGCTTCACGTTTTAGGTTTATTTAGCCCTATTAAGGCAATTGTTCTGAGGGCTTATCCAACGGATAAGTCGCTATCCAACGGATAAGTCGCTATCCAGCGAATAAAGGACAGCAAAACGTAATGTGCAGTGGATAGCGTTACCAAACCTTCGAACAACCGGGGCCTGGAGTGCAAAGAGTACGGCTGCCGCCAATATGAATCTTAGACTCCAAACAGAGACGTGATATTTTCAATTTAAAGACTGTTTTCGAAGTAAAGTTGTTGACGATACAGACCTTAAGATTAGATATGCTGGCTGGTTCTGTTTCTAGTGTGACAGTTGTTAGCGCAGAGGTGATGTTTGCCATGAATAACGTCATGACAACGATACCAATCAGTATCCAAAATATGGAGAATATACGAGCTGCCATCGACTTCGGAACCTTGTCGCCATATCTGTTTTAGAATGACATGAATATTTTTGCATATAAATAAAAGCAAGCTAAGAAATCTGGGTGAAGCATATGTGGCTGAGGCTATCTAACCACGTTTGACTCGTGCGTTAAGTAAAAAAAAATCTATGAGAGTCTGAGCTTGATGTCATAGTATTCGTACGTATTTATAGCGTAAAGAATGAGCTCGAAGGAGCTAATTAAATTGAAATGGTAATGTTGATGTCAACGATGGAAAGCCAACAGAGAAACCAGAGTGTCTAGGCCTCCTAACCACTGTTATGCCTCATTTGTTCACGCTGATCATGTCTTACCATGAAAAAAAAATATGCTTAGATCCTCATATCATGATTTATTGCATGAAACCGGTACCTCATCGATAAGGAGATAAGAGGGTACATGAAAAACGCAATAGTGAACCTGGAAAACAATTACATATGGCGTAACGCTAATTTTAATTATAGTTTTTATCAAGTGAATTGATCTACGTAAAGGGATTGGAGGGAAATAGACTTTTTCCTACCCAACAGTTGTCATTGAGATAAATGACCACCAGATTCCATCCCCAGAGCCTTTGATGAAGGAGGGTGAAAATTCTTCGCTGTTACAATGTTTGTCCTAATTCAGTAATCAAAAAATCAATAGTTTAAACTTAGCATCTTGTGCCAGATAGTGGTCTAGCTGTATGTCATTTAATATGAAGCATAATCCGCATGATCAAATAAACTTACCAAAGCCCACATGATGATCCCAGTGATGGCTGTAAAATTTACTGCAACAACAAGCAATGGCCAAGATTCAAAAATTGCTGATAAGACAACCTTCAAAGCTTTGGTTTCTTGGTCTGTGGTTATGAAATCAGTTCCGGGATAACTATCGACTTTAACAAAGTGAAATTCTTTGTATTGTCGATCGTCTGGGATTTCGAATATTGGGGCGACTACGTCCGCTTCGTTTCTTCGCAGAATTTCTACCAATTCAGATTCGCTTCTGAAGTTGTTCCCCTTGTCTTCAAATGTGTATGTGATGGACTGAGGCTTGTGAGAGCGACCACAATTCACTACAATATAAGGAGCTAGAGTGTCTTTCAATAACCCATAAGGAAGTTCATCCAAAGAATTATTCTCGCTTAACATTAAGTATGGAGGTTTCGAAAGCCAAGCTACTCTCAACAATCTTATAGTTGAGTTCTTCCCTCTCGAATCCATATCGTCAGTTCCAGTCGTGATATCTTCTGCACCGGTCAAAGGGAAGCTAGTAGCAAACAGGGTAGCGATCACAGCTTTGAGCACCGATATCCAGTTTCTCATTGTGTATCTGAAAAATGAAAAAGGGATTTTAAATTGAGGAAAGAAATGGAAATTTAATGTTGACGAAGGAAACTTATTACAGAGAACCGAGTGATAATATAACTTCAACCTAGCATATTTAAGCGGATAAAGTTCTTCGTCGTTTGCAAAAATACAGTTGAAAGGAAAACTAGGGAAGAGCAACGATCCAAATAAAAGAAAAGTGCAACAAATGAAATCAGAGAGATTATTTCCCTGCCTCTTACGAAACATTTTTTCGAAAACTCTCTAAATTTATTAGTAATTATATGGTACCTTTCGAAATCCTGTGACAGAATCGAAGGCGAATCTTAACTTCGTTAGATACGTTTAAATCATTAATGTTAAACTTTATGTTTTTGGAGTCTTTCAATTATTTATGAAATAAATATGTATACCGTACATACCTATTTTTTGTCGATTTTCAAATAAGTCCTTTTGCAGGCATGATAGCCTTAAAAATAAAGCTTGGTGATGCTGAACTTTATGTTTCTGGTGTCTTTCTATTATTTATGAAATCAATATGTATACTGTCCATACCTATTCTTTGTCGACTTTGTTGATTTTCAAATAAGTCTTTTTGTAGACATTGATAGCCTTAAAAATAAAGCTTGGTGATCACTTTGAATTACCCAGTGAATTCGCATCAGAAATGCCTTTAATGATTACAGAGATGTTGTTTTTGCTGTAGTTATTTACTACCCGAGGCTGTGAAGTTCCCTTTCCAAAACAGGGGGATATAAAATTCTGTTTTTGAAGATAATAGAGAGGTGGGGGTTCTTTCCGATATCTTATACATGATGCATGACTAATTTCCTTGGTCAACCTGGTAGAACACAGCATAGTCAATAGTATATAATTTTGATTAGGAAGTCCAGGAGATTTCTTTGCTATAGGCTTTTTTTTAGAACTTTGATCTTGACCTTGCAAAATCTTCAAAGCTTTCCAGTCATGTTAAATAATTTATTCAGTCAAAGTGTGAGAACACAAAAACATCAGACTATGCTCGGTCAGAGAGCACCTAACCTGAACTGAGGTACTGTTGTCTTCTATCCATGTTTTTTTTTCAAGTTGCTTTCATTAGCATTCTCTACTATGTTAGAAGAAGCTAAGCTTTATAAAAGTCCAAAGTCCACTATAACTTATTTTTGAAATTAAAACTCGTTATCGGAAAACCCAGTCGCTTATCTTTCGCAAACAAAAGAAGGTAAACATATAGTGCTCATACTGCGCTTTCTTACTCACTGATGAGTTCATATTTAATTATGTTCCATGTTTTGGAGAGTGCTATTCTTCCGTTAAGCTAATTCCATGTTTTCTCTAAAAATATGGCTTCTTATTTTGGAAATATAATCAAAACATTCTGTTTTAACTATCATGGCTCTTTCTGAATATTTCTGAAGATTATTTCAAAAGCAAATATTTATCATAAAAATTAACCACGAAAAATAAATCACGAGTTGTCTTAATTAGTCACTGACACTCTAACCAGTACATTTTTTTTCTTCAGCTGGTGGTTTTATTTTAGAATTTTCAAAACTCTTGAGACCCCCATTTTGAATTAAAACAGAAGAGCTTTCTGGACCTGTTAAGTTACCGGAACCTTCGAGAACTATGGGGTCTCTGGAGTTAAGCTCATTCATCATCCGTATCCCTCTTGGCCATCTCCTAAATTTTCTTTCTTAAATTTAGCGAAGATGGCATGCGCAGGTGTCGATTATTCTCCTATTTAATCGAAATATAAACAAAAAAATAATTCTCGAATACTGCAAGTGGAACAGCATGATTTATTAGTTCGTGCTTTGTTTAATGTGTGGTTCCTTCATGTCTTTGATAAGCACACCAATGATTTTCTCTTTAATTAAAAGAGGTGCCATCGTTAAAAAAAAAAGCTATGCAGCTAACCAAACGGTTACAGTCGAACCTCTACTAACGGCCACCTCTCTCTAATGGCCTCCTCTTCACAACGGCCACCTTTTTTGGTCCCGGCGGGCTGTCCATACAAGTCATTTAACTTCTCTGCAACGGCCACCTCTCCACAACGGCCACTTTCTTCTGTCCTCAAGGTGGCCGTTGTGGAGAGGTTCAACTGTAACTTCATAGCGCTAGCAAAGCTCGATGATGTTTTATAACTAGAATAAGCTGAATACTACACGCATTTTGATTGGTTCTTACTTATTTATTGGGAGGATATACGCATGGATGACATCACCATCAACGACATTTAACTTAAGTGAAATAGATTTCCATGTTGCCGAGAGTTTGTAACAGGTCATGGGAGATGTCAAAATGCGGTAAGAGCATCACTAATACACATGGCTGCACTTCGTGTGGCACTTTATTGGTCTTACTACATTTCACGGCATCTGTTACTGAACAGACACACAACATCGTGGGATCTCCTTGTCCAATGAATTAACATCCTTTTTGATGTCATTTCAGTCGCATACTAAAAACTTTGGACTCCAGTTTGTCAAATTGTTCTTGTGTTGTGCGAAGAAGACGTCGCATAACTTCAAGTTCGGCCCGAATCGTGTCTCTCTCAATGTACATTTCTTTATTCGTGGCCTCCTCTGCGAAGAAAATTCACAAATTTATAAATGGTAATCATCGTTCCATGATAAAAAAAAATCTGTTTGTACTAATTTTAAGATGGTCGCTGTTCTCAACGGCATCTGAACTCGCTGCGTTCAGAGGATAAATTGAGTTTATCTTCGTAGACTCTTTTACCCTTCTATTTTCATTGGCGCTGACAATACTTTGAATTATTGAGCCACTTTGTTGGGCTCTTCATTTTATTTAACAACTCAATTCATCGAAGTGGAGGTGAATATATAGTACTTGCTGTTCGCTTCCGAACCAGCCAATCAGAGCTCACGTGTGTGGTATATACTAATTTGTATAAAAGCTTACTTTAAAAGAAAATTGATCTGCACGCTCACCTACGTGTATGACGACATTTTGTTTTCCTTTTCCTTTCAGTCTAATGAGCAGTTCCCACGATGTGCCGATGACAAGCAAAGCAGCCAATACTCCAAGTGATATATACATGGACTCTCTGACAAATACGGAGGACTCGTCAAAGAGATTGAAGCTTGTCTCAGGCCTTTGTTGTGTAAGCTAATTATGTAATGAAACCATGGCATTACGATATACTTTCCTTTTTATTTATGGTTAGGCGCTACTTTTTGGTTGGCTTGCCTGTTTGCTAATTTCTTTTAAAGCATAAATCACGTAAAGCGCGCGCTTAGATTGGTCTATACACTGTCTACTATTTTCCCTTGGGAGTATGCTTCTGACATAAGCAATTGTTTCAAGTAAGCAAATGTTTCGCAAGAAATTGTTTTTTATAAAAGAAATGGTGAACACCACAGCGTACACTACTGAGTTATGGATGCACGCGGGAGGTTGCTAAGCACGAAAGAAGCGTAAGAGTCGCTCGAGGCGATAGCCGAGAGCGACTCTAGCTTCTTGAGTGTGATGTTTACCATTTATTAAATTAGGCACACTGTTATAATACTCTTTTCTGTGTGGCATAAGCATTACTTAGGTCGTTTACTTCACTTTGCTATACTCATGGTTTCGAGAAATCGGTGAGCATTGCATAAAGGGACCTAGAACTTTGGTGGAAAAATTTACAAGGAAAATGAGGCATTTTTTACCATTAAATTAAAGATTACCTTGTACAAGTCAGTAACGCTTTGAACCGATCTCCATATGTCTGAGCGATACTTGTTTGCCAAGCACTCAGCAAGACTCTCTCTGCTGTTATGGAACAGCGTTCCCACATCTCTCTGTAGATCTAACTTCTTAACAGTGATAAAAGATTCCAGTGTGCCATCTCTTTGATAATATGAAGCCGCGTAGCGGTCCAATAGCATTCCGTTCACTTGCTTCGATTTCAGTGCTTCAATGGCGACGTCAATGCTGTCATAGACTATGAAGACAAAACAATAGATAATGTTCTTTCACCAAGTTTTTCCTGTGAAATTTCTTTTCCCCGTCTTTTTGTGAGGTATATTCTATTTTATGCATTAATCAAACATGCAGCAGATGCTGACAACGAAGCACATATGGTATTATAAATACTGAGTCTTTTTTCTTGTTTGTTTTTTTTTTTAAAATGCAAATATGCACAGTCACGTGCTTTGAAATTGTGCTTTTCTTCGCAAAACTATTCCATTGCATCAATTTCAAGTGTTTTTAAGTTAATCCCGAAAATTGTTCCCGCTTCCTCAACAAAAAAAAAAAAAAAAGAAAAAGATCTTTTTTGAATTTATGATCGATCATGAGCTCAAAATTTACCATTTTACTCGTTCTATCTATGAAAACGACGCTTTTATTTCGGACATTGGGACCTTAAGCAGTCAGGACGGCAACGGCGAAGAAAACGTCAATTAAACAATGAATTAGTCAGAATTTCGCTGATATCTGGATGTGTTAAATGTCTCTAGCGCCACACCTCAACTTCAGTATCATGTACGTGAGTGGGGTAAGTTCCAAGTTTAAACAAAATAATTTTCCGTCGGTGTTTCCATTACCGGACAACGTAAATTTTGGTGATTTAAAGTTGTTGCTTGGCAGGAGATGGTTAAGAAATGTGCTGAGCTATTATTGTGCCAATTAGATCCTTTGTTTCGTTACGTCCTCATTCCGTTGCCGTCGTGGTCTGCTCAAGGTCCCCATTGCTGATCCGATTGGTATACTGGATGCAGGTAACAAATTAAACTTGTGGTAGCCTAACTCAACAAAGAGTCTATAGGGTTCAGTGATAGAGCATCGGAGCGCAGAATCCGAAGATTTGATGTTCAATTTTTCGTGAGGACTTATTCTGTTTAAGCAATAAAAGAAAATCATGTTACTACAAAATGTATCATGTCAGTTCATTCTGTTTTTAGTTAATTTTTAGTCGACTTCCCATGGACCTTTCGGCCGTGCATTCTCTTCCAATGCATGCTGGTATTCGGTTCCATTGCTCAACACTGCAACCTAAGGATAAAGCGTAAAATATTATCCGTCATACTCTGGATGGGTTGAATCCATTGTAATAGAGATAAGAAATTATGGCAAAGGATCTCTTCCACCAACACTGCGTTGAGCGATCTCTTACCTCCCCAGAGAACACGGCAGTTGAGAACTAGGTCGCATAATTATATTTTGCCTAAGGTTCAGACAAGCCGTTTTAAATCAGTTTTTATTAATAGATGTCTTTTCAATAGTAATTGATACCTTTTCTTTTTCCTTATTCATTCTATTCATGTTAATCGTTGCACGTCTGTTTGCACAATAATTCTTAATAAAGACCTTTATTATTATTATTATTATTATTATTATTAGTTCCTCACGACCTCTCTTGTTTGAAAAGGCAGACTCTCTCACAGCACCGGTGTATTTAAAGAACCATGTATAATTTTCAAGGGCATGCTGGGGCGGATCCAGGATTTAGTCAAGGGGGGTTCGGAGGGGGGTTCGGAGAATTGTTCCCCTTCTGAGGGGTCCAAGATTTTGAAAATTAGGTCTTCGGAAACATGATTTCCAGCGTTCTGAAGGAAAATTTAGGGTGTTCGACCGAGCCACCCGAACCATCCCTGAATCCGCCCCAGTCATGTGTGGCCCCCTTTGTAAGAAGTATATGTCAGTTTTTGCCATCTCCTTTTTTTACACGATCCTTGCTTTTATTAATGGTAAATAACCAGCTTAGCCAGCTCATTCTTTCTTAATTATGACCGATTACTTGGAGTCAGCAATGTTGTAAAACAGATGCTTTTTTTAATGTAATGCTATATTATATTTACTAACATCAACATCATTAAGACTTGTCGGTTCCAGATGCAGAGAGAGAGCCGTCAATGCAGATGTGACATTTGCCGTAAAAACAGCCATGATTATTAGGCTTAACTGGATCCAGACGACCGAGAATATACGAGCCAGGATAGATTTTGGAGCCTTGTCTCCATATCTAGCGAAGACCAAAAAGGCGATGCAATTTTATGAAACCTACATTTTTATGGGTATGTATGTGAGGGTAAAAGACGATTAGCTCAGAGAGCGCATCTGATGATTTTTTAAACCATGTGCTGTCGTGACTTAAATGAACTGATTAATTAAGGAAAGTCTGAAGAAGTCAATGGTTTTGCTTTTATTGACTAATTAGCTAAAGCTGAGTTTTCGACACCGATTGTCGATCGGTACCCCTGTTGTAAAAGAATTGGCCCGGTCTTTGCCGAAAACGAGAAAACTGCATCGATCAAATGCATCCTTAGAAATAAAATTTAACTGATCATTATGACGGCTGACACAATTAATTAAGGCTTCGGTCAATTTCTTTTAAGTTGAATTAACAGATAAATCCTAATAATGAGAGCCTTCCTTACCCCACGGTGGTCATGGAAATGAAAGACCACCAAAATCCATCCCAGGAGCCTCTGAAGAACGAACGCGGAAACTCCTCATTGTTCCAGTTTGAATCCTAGGATTCCAAGAAACGTTATCGGCTAAAGCAAGATCGGTTTTCACATTGGTGTACATTACAATTCATTCTACATATTACATGTCCACCACTACCTGAAATTGACTCGATTAATGGGGTCAAAATTGGATTGGCTGTTGTAGAACCTCACCTCGTTTCAGCAGTAGTGCAATACTTACTAGCAGCCAGATGATAATTCCAGCGATGGCAGTTAGGACGAGGGTAAATGCAAGCAAAGGCCAAGACTTCAGCACAGAATTCAATACTACAGTGATACCTCTGGTTTCTTCTTCAGCTGTTGTTATGTATTCGGTTCCGGGATAATCAAGCAGTTTGAAAAATAGAAACTCATTGTATTGTTTATCGCCATGTTGTTTAAATATAGGACCAGCCATGTGGACTTTGTCTTGCCTCAACAGCTCGATCATTTCAAATTCACTTTGAGCTCTCCTTGTTCGCAATTTGTAAAAATATTTGTATTTTCCATCATCTTCACATTCAGACACCAAATACTTTAACAGCGCATCTCGAAACAACCCAGCGGCCTCGTTGTCAAAAGATTCGTTAGAAGGGGAGGTTAAATATGGAGGCCTTTCAATCCAGGCTATGGTGAGATCCCGGTAGAGAGGTATTCTTTTCCAAGGGCGCGTTGATGAGTTGGTTTCCGCCAAAGAACGTCGGAAATGAAAACCAGCAATGCCAATAACAACAAATGCATGTATGTTTAACAAGTACGCCATTGAAGATCTATAAATGGCAATAAAATTTGTTTTCTACATTTTGAATCGACTTACCGGTAATTCAAATAAGTATGGTAACGAACTCTTTTCATGCACTTTGCAGAAGCGATCCAAAGTTTTTCGTTTAAATGAAGTATACGTTAGCTCTCCACTTGATCAGTTGACCATACAGTTGGCGACTTACTCTTACAACTGTTTTTTTGTGTGACGATCTGACTTAGCAGGCGGTTTTTTCAACAAAATATCAGTCTATTTTCAGAAACCTTTCCCTTAGGATGCCTCGGTCATTCTGTAGTGAATTCAAATGCGAAGTCAAAAGATTGAAGATATTTAGGTCATGAAATACTGCAATTTCTATAAATAAAATATTTTCTTAGATTCGAAAACATTCAAGTAGGGTGAGCCTTAATTTGCGCTAATCTTTTATTATTTTGTTTTTGGAGTATGCTATGAAATGATGCAAACACCACAAGTGCTAAATAAATCCAGATTAATTTCCATAGTTGGTTTCAAATATGAATACACTAAATGCGGTGTTTTACTACAAAGAATGCAAATTGATCTCCCTTCTATCTTATCCTCAGCATCTATTTATTTTTCCAGGAGAGGAAATATAAAGCATTGTTGTATTACTACAGCTGAAAGTAGGCAGATGTTTTAACGAGCTAGTGTTACAAATAATATTCATTTTGCAGTTACGTACGTTTTTAATGTAAAAATCCATTTTATTAGGTATTTTTTCTACACGAGCCCAGTTAATGATCCCTGTATTTCAAATTCCTTTTATAGAAGCCGAGTGATATCATTTCACATTTTTTTACACTGAATAATTTTTCAAAGTTTTGTACTTGAGTAGTCATTATTAATAATGGAACGGGAATAGTTACCTTTTCACTCTACTTTATAGGAATGATGCGATGAGAACCCTATCCTTTCTCTTGTAAATGAATTGAAACACGAAAAATTAAATTAAATGACAACTAAATGTTTGCCTCGATTCAAACAGATTAAGCTCACGACAAAAATTATGTTTTTCACCGGCCTGCAACGAATGATTGCGCAAACGTTTGGCCTTCATTTTGATGATTGAGATAGGTCGTGAAACGAGACACCCATGTGACACCAACTCATATTTGGACTTCTAAATGACTAACAGAAAGATGCTTAAATTGACATGATCGATAACTTAGTTTATGACTCACCTGTAAGTGTAAATATGTAAAACGACCTTGGTTTCTACTCTTATATTCTTCTTTCACGTTCTCTCATTAACGATCTGCTGCAGGAGGACTCCTGTATCTTGCTGGGGCGATTACAGCCTCATGTCAAAATCACAAAAGAATGTTTTAAATGTAAGTCTGCCGCTGAATGAATAATTCAATCATCCTTTTTGTTCGATAAAGGGTATTGTACAGAGTCTAAATTTTTAAGATTGTAATAGGCATTTTGCAGCTAGAGATCACGTACTTAGAAACCGCATAGCAACGCCATACTGGAGAGCAAGCACTCCAATGAGTGTTCAGTCAGTCAGTCAGTCGTCCAGTCAGTGAGCCATTCGGTCAGTCAGTCGTCCAGTCAAGCAGTCAGTCATTCAGACAGTCGGTCAGTTAGTCAGTCAGTCACTCAGTCAGTCAGCCGTCCAGTCAATTAGTCAGTCATTCAGAGAGTCCGTCAGTTAGTCAGTGAGTCAGTCATTGAGTCGTCTAGTCAGTCAGTCTGTTGGTCAGTCATTTAATCAATAGATCAGTTAGACAGTCACTCAGTCAGGCAGTCGTCCAGTAAATCAGTCAGTCACTCAGTCACTCAGTCGTCCAGTCAATCAGTCAGTCATTTAGACAGTAGGTCAGTTTGTCAGTGAGTCAGTCCTACAGTGATTCAGTCGTCCAGTCAGTCAGTCTGTTGGTCAACTAGATAGATAGTTTATTTATATAATTTTGCAACCCAAAAGTTGAATTACGCCATATTTACATACTAAAAAAAAAAAAAAAAAAAAAAATGTATATATATATATATATATATATGAAAATCCCTACATCATTAAAGAGATTAAAACTAGATCTATAAGCGCAGTCATACAGTCATTTAGTCGTCCAGTCAGTCAGTCATTCGGTCATTCAGTCGTCCAGTCAGTCCGTCTGCTAGTCAGTCATTTATTCAGTCGATCAGTTAGTCAGTCAATCGTCCAATCAATCAATCAATCAATCAGTCATTCAGTCAGTCAGTTAGTTAGTCAGTTTGTATGTCAGTCAATCATTATTCTTATCGTAACATAGATTTACTCTCAATAAACGAAAAAAAAGGCGTTATCGAGACTTATTTTTATTCCGAAATTTTCTTGATTTCGAACAAAATCACTTTCACGGTTTTTCTCAAGACTTATTTTTATTCCGAAATTTGCTCAATTCCGGATGAAACTATATTATGCGATTGACCTTCGACCTTCGGTTCTGGTGATCGCGAAAATTGACCTTGTTTTACAGGTAGAAAAATTCTCATCATGTCGTGGGAATGCGTGCACTAACACCCGTTCATTAATCCTTTTGTCCAGAAGGTGAGGATTTTTTGGCGGCCATCTGTTACATAAATGACTTGCATAATTTTTCTTTGAAAGATACTTGCATAAGTTCTTTTTGAAAAGATGCTTGCATAATTTCGCTTGGAATTCATATTTCATGCCATTCGAGCAGTATCTCTTTTCAAGAAAAGAGATACTGCATAATTTCTCTTTAAGAAACCAAAGTTTATTCATATTGAGATCGTGATATCGAATTTAGAGAGGTTTCTTTCGATTTATTTAATTTGTAGATGTAGATAAGGCATTGTTAAATTAGTACACAGAGAAAATTATCTGACTACACCGATTGTAATACCTTTAGCATATTTCAGGTCCTTTTTATCAAAAAGTAATTTTTGTGTCGCAAAACATTTATCTTAGTTTGGTTGTAGTTTTGAAAGCGAATCACCGAAAAAGTTGCTGTTATTGTTTAAAGCTCAATCGACATGCACAACACATCTTTCTGTACGTGAAATCGTTTGTTATACAATTTACTGTTTTCATGTTAAGGTAAAATTATCTGAGCTGAAGAAATCTTTAGAATACAAAATGTGACCAAGCTTCCTACTGGGAGTCACTTCACCTGCTTTTTTATTCTGGAAACGAGTTGGTAAACTAAGGGGTTATCCACCTGCCTCAACGAATTTCGTGACAATTGCCCCTGTGTCTTTCGTTCTTTTGCAATCTGAAGTTAAAACCGATACCCTCACGCAACAGCTGTATGTAAGGGGTAACTTTTACTTCGCTGGCTTGTTTACTTGCTCTCTAAACAAAGAATACGTTATAGTATTTATGTTGATTTTCATACTTTCAAATTCGCCAGACCCCAAAATGACTACGTTGCCGGTAAGGTGTCAAGAAAATTAGGTCATCGCGGAAATCATCATTACATTTTTTTAGTCAGAGGCTATGGAAGAAATATGTGCAGATTTTAAAAACGAATTAACCGTTTTCCAGTTCTTTGGTTTCAAGAAAGGCTCTCGAGCCCGACGCTGCTCGCTCTATTTGATGACTTTGGAAATAATTAACCGATCTGATCTAACAAAACATTTTTCATTGTATCGAGTTAGTACCACGGTGTTTCATTATGTGAGCTCTTTGATTCCGTAAACAACGTATTTTCTGCACATATCGAATGATTGAAGACTAATCAGCAGGTCAAGAAAATGAGTAACTGAAAGTCATTGTGATACCAGCGCCTGCAGCTGTCCGAAATTATGATGAAAATGTAAAACTTGAGTAATTTCGCTCGTAGTCACTGCCGCGGCGAACTAAAATGTCGTTACCAGGGAAGACTTATAATTCTTTGAGAAAGTGTGAAATTTTATTGGGAGAAAGAAATTAAACAAGACAGTAAGAAAGCAAAACAAACCAACAAACCATAAATCAAATCGAAAGAAAAACACAAAAACAAGAAATGAGAAATTTCGTATTACTTATGAAAATCATTAGCACTTTTGAAATTCCTTTTCGGTTTTTTCAATTTTGAACATTCATTTATTTGTTTATTTTTCACTTATGTGTTGTGTTGAAATAAATTTTTACATATTTTGCACTATTTTGAGCAAGGAATAATATAGATAAATACAATTGCTTACGTGCCGGCCACCCTCGCCATCAAAGGATGATAGCCTAGTGTACATGTGTTCATAATCTCTGCGAGTTACATCTGCAGTCGTATCGGCTTACGGTCAGAATAATCAAACAGGCAGACTCTGTTTGCAGGGCATTATGGTAGCCTTTCTGCTGCCCGAATGCATGCAGCTAATTAATATGGTGAACTAATTAAACGACAAAATGCAATGCAAGTTCTATAACTAAGTAAAAACTTATCACATGGTTTAGGTGTTATCAATTAAAGTGATTGTGAGAGACAATTATGAAACAGTAGGTTATGTCGAGTTGTTTTTTGTTAATTGAGCTGAAAACTTAAGGAAGGTGAGGCTAGACGTTCGACTTAAACAAGAATTTGAAATCTCCTAATTAAGGAGATCGGTGAGGATTTGTATTCGTTAAGTTCGTCTGTACGGTGAAAGTAAGAGGCTATCGGTAAGTTTATACGTAAGAATAGACCACTTTCCCGTCAAGCGTAGATTTCAAGATGCAGATTGACAGATATAATAAGCAATAATCTTAAAAAAATTTGAAGTAGAAGCTGGAGATAAATCCTGAAAAATTCAGAAATCATACACTGTAGCTATACTTTGGTACGATAGGTTTGATATACAAGTTCACTTTTTTATCAGCAATTTCTACAATTAAGTTGTCATAGATAGATAATGCCGTCCTCGCTTTATCCTCTTACAAAGATGTCAAGATTTATCCGCCTTTGGAGAGAAATCAGCGCATACATAAGTATGTAATTTAGATATATTTTGAACTGGCTGCACATGTGTCCTTTTTTCACAATTTGTAAATCCCAACGCACCGTTTACCGGTTATCTCGAATTGTTGACACTTTTGATTCCAGTACTGTGAAATGATCTTGCATTTGTTTAAGAAGTCTTTTGGCCACTTCAAAGTCGTTCAGAATACTTTCTCTCTCAGTTAACGACATCCCTTTGTTTTCGGCTCCTGTTAAATGAATGAGGTTTAGTTTTCAGTGATGCCTGGAAACAACATCAATGACTATGAACTACACATTACACTGTAAATTTTATGACATGGGACGTCGTTAGAAGTTAATAAATAAACTAAACATGCAACTAAACGAAAACGTAAATAAACAGATACATTGGTGGATGAACTGAAAGAATGAATGAATGGGTGGATGTATAGGGAGACGAATGAATGGTTGATGGAGAGATGGCTGGTTGAATGAGTGAAGGATTGTGAAATGAACGAATGGATGGGTCAATTGATCCGCAAATGACCGGTGGGTAAATAAATTGATAGATTAGGAAACTAAAGAATTCAAAATGAATAGACAGTTGTATCAATGGAAACGGTTAGATCAATAAAACATGCAGAAAATATAATTCCGAACATAATGGACAAATGGACACTGAGTATGAGAGCGATTTTTTCAGGCCTCACTTTCACTACTGCTTTAGTAGTGTTCATTACTGCGAAGATCACTCTTATACTCATTTCTTTAGCCGCAGTTCACATATATGATTCTCATATATTAACAAATGGACACTGTCAAAAAAAAACAACCTTACCCCACTCGATCACGGAATTTTTCTGCTTATCCGACTTCTTCCTGATAAGTCGGTCCCATATTATTCCAATACAAAGCATTCCTGCTAAAACTCCAAGCAATATGTACAACAATATTTTAACAAAGCTGGAGGAATCGTCAAACAAACTGAATTGTTTTGCCAGACTGCGCTTAGTGAGCTGCCAAAAAGGAAGGCAATTATTATTATTATTTTATCAATTAATCCATTAATAATGACTCAAATCGTGCCGACCATTTCGTAGAACTAATCAGATTAGTCACTTTTGTGTAAGTGATCGGATAACATAAGTCGCCGGCTCAGTTAAATGTTAAATGTTTTTCACGTTTCACATACAATAGTTGACGAATGCGCGAAAACAAAAGAAAACAAAAAAGGAAAAAAAAAAGAGACAACTACTATATAATAACAAGAATACGGACAAGCAAGAAATGCACAGATCTGAGCTTGCTGCTCGAAGGGTTTTCGTAACTTAAAGCTCTACTTTACTACCTTATATGTTGCAGTGATGGTTTGAGCCGACCTTAAAATGGTGGAACGTTGATAATTTAAGCAATCTGCTAGGTATTTCCTGTCCTTTGAAAAGAGAACCCCGACACCTCTTTGAAGCTCCAATTTCTTGACGGTGAGAAGCGTTTTCAATTTTTCTCTTGAGTGATAAAAGATGTTTGTGTAGTGATCTATGAATATTCCATCCACGTCCTTGGACTGTACAGCTTTGACGGCGTCGTCGATACTGGTGTGCACTAAATGCAGTAGTTTAAAACAAAAACAAAAAAACAAAACAAAAACAAAAAAACAAAAACAAAACAAAAATTATAAACGCAGCAGACCAGCACAAACCTTAACAAAAGAAGGAAATAAAATAGTTGATCGGCATGGATTTGAGCGTGCATACTCCATAGACGTGTCCAAGACATTATTTCCTGATAACGTCTGCGGTAAATAGACCTTGCTTTGACATAGCTTATACTGTAGCTTTACAGTTCAAGATGACTAAAATGAAACACGCATGATTCCCTGGAATCATGCGTGTTTCACTTTAGTCATTTTGAACTGTATTTCGCTCTACACTCATGTGTATTGAGCACTTTCCAACAGCATTTGCTATAATTTCCCAAAATTATTAGCATATACTTTATATTATTTTAAGGACGCCTAATAGCACACGGTACTTCTTGGATTGTACGTATACCTATTGGTTCAGCTTCCTCTTGTTGTGCATGTTGGTACTCTGTCCCATTTCCTAAAACTGCAACCTGATGAAAGTTTTATCGTCAAATATAGAAAAGTATTCTACAAAACACAGTTGCATCATTATTATGATAATGTAATGGGATCGTTTTCAAAGAGAACGACGACGGCAACGAAAAACAAGGAGAGGACGCGGAAGAAGAAGAAGAAGAGCAAGACCAAGAGAAAGAAAAGTCCAAGGACAAGGCCAGGCCGGGAAAATCAAGACATCATTACGAGTATGTTAATGATAACATTTTCGTATTGATCTATTCTGCTTGGTTCGGTTTCCAGGGTAAGTGCCGTCAGTGCCGTAGTAACGTTCGCCGTAAAGATAGCCATAACAATCAGGCCCACGAGGATCCAAACAATGGAGAATATCCGTGCAGGAAGAGATTTGGGAGATTTGTCACCATAGCTAAAGGCGAAAAAGATCAATTATCATTTTTTAATTCTGCTTGCACATTAATTATGAGGGAACATTTAGAATTAGATAGGTGAACCATGTTGAAACGGCTCGAATTAAACGTTAGACATCAACGAGGGAGGGTTTTCTAGCCCACTGTTTCGATGTTCAATTCAAATTTGTGGTGTCAGGGTTTGTTCGTCTACACTTTTGGAGTGTTAGGTAGACTCATCTTACAAAACAACTCGGTCGATAAATTTAAATAAAATCACTAAAAGTGGTAAAATTATTTTTTGCAAGGCTAGTTATTTAACTAAAGAGTTTACCCTACTGTGGTCATCGAAATAAAGGACCACCAAAATCCATCCCATGAACCTTTGATGAATGATCGCGGAAATTCTTCACTGTTCCAATAGGTGTCCTGAAAGAAGAAAAAAATAATGTTAAATATGAAAACAGGAAGGTGTCATTAATTAAGTAAATAAAAAGATATAATCATGTTCTCCCCATTTTTTGTAGCCCCAACTCGTAGTTCAGTCTCCGCTGCAAAATGAACCGGCCAGTGTTGTTGATAACGAGGCAAGTAATCAAATCCTGTTACTAGAAGAATTTGATGATCTCAAAATTAATTTTTTTGCTGTGAAAGCTCTAAACCGTCACATAAGGATACAAAAAAAATGATCTTATGATCAAATAATCCAAACTGCAATGGTTGCTGCACACTCCACACTTTCGACAACGTTCTTATTTTATGGAAAACGCTTGTGACATAGTTATGATTGCGCGAAAGGAGTTTTTTGCGCCTAAGTTGGAAAGCCTGTGTCTGATTTATTTTTGTCCTTTGATCGGCTGTCGTGATAAATGTTTCCAATCTTTCTCTGATAAAATGGGCTTTTCAGTTGACATTGGAAGATCTCTCCGTTAACCGCGAAAAAAAAAGAGAACAAAAACATGTTTGCAAATCGTTATGTAAGGTTTTATTCAACAGCAAGAAAGAAGAAAAGTAGTGAATATACCTAGAAAATAACATTGGAGTGATAGAGACAATTTGATTCCACAAATGCAAACCTACCAAAGCCCACATAATAACCCCTGAGATGGCTGTTAAGACCAGAGTAACAGCTAGCAGTGTCCAAGACCTCAGTACGGCATCCAGAACGTAGCTCATCTTATTGTTCCTTTCCTCAGAGGTGAGGAAGTCTGTTCCTGGATAATCAACCACTTTGAAAAACGGAAACTCGCTGTAATGTCTCTCCCCTTTTGGCTCGAAAATAGGAGCTGCAACGTGGACTTTGTTTTGCCTCAGCAGTTCGATCATTTCATATTCACTGTTTACCCGCCGGTCTTGTATTTGGTATTCAACACCAAAAAGTACACCGCACTCAAAAGTCATGTACCGTAAAAGTGTATCTCGGATTAGTCCCTGAGGCCCGCTGTCTAAAGATCCATTGGTAGGCAGTGCGACGTACGGTGGTTTGGCCATCCATGTTATTGTAAGATTGAGAAACCATTTGATCTCCTGTTCGTCTTCCTTCGTAGACGAGTTATCTTTGGCTGACACAATATTGAAATGTGTAATAGCAACCCCGGTGAAGACAGCTGTAAACACCTTCATCCAGTATTTCATTATTACCCTGATTGAAAAGACAAATGTTTTCGTTGTATTGTAGAAATATTTATGGACAAGACAGTCTAAAATTAAATAAAGCTTTCCACGGAATTGCTGAGTTAAGCCTTCATACATTTTATCATCTGTACGAATGAAGTAAAAAAAAGAAAGAAGTGAATATGATACCAGTAACCAACTTTTCAGAACAAGTAACTATCGATAAAATTACTAGAGATTTTAAGTTGCCCGCCTCGAAAAGTTCTTTACTCTTAATAAATGAGGCATAAATTCAGTTGGTAAAATGCGTGTCCTAAACACAATATTTACTAAGCAAAGCAAAAGTGTAGGTATGACTGACTTATTGGTTGAATATGCGTTTTCATTGAGAAGAAAAAACAAGTTTGAAGACGAATGCTGTGAGAGATCCGATCAAATTCGTTGCGGGCGAACCGGCTCACTGTGTAAACTTACCCAAAATTAGAGCTTAGTACCAGTTTCAGAGTTAGATTTTGCTAAAGTTACTTCTTTAATTCCTACTTTGTGTGGACGTAGTCCATGTAATGCATTTGATCTATGAAATATCGCACAAGCAAATGAATGTATTCGCAATGAACGCTACTGGATGTATAATCTTAACAACTCAAATGAGGAACCCACACGTTAATTAAACTTAAGAACCACCTTTCGTTAATTTGTACCTCGACTGCCGGGGAAACACAAAAATTAGAAGTTTACCGATTTAGCAAAAATAAGTTCCGTCCGAAGTTGATAAACTAACTTGGAAGAAGCCAAAAAGTGTTTTGTAGAAATGCAACATGCGTCACATCAAATAGTAGTAGAAGATGTTGATAATGATATACATTAGTTATGCAACGCAATTGTATTTTTGCACAAAGAGGAGTATTCGTCAAGTTGTCCCTCGACCATTGTTATACTGTCAAATTTCTAAATTCAAGCTGTATCTTGATTTCAATTGGCTGACAACTTGGTAGAAACTTTCGCTTTCTCACCTTTTAATCCCTAATTTAAATCTTGGATTAAACGTAAATTAACTGTACACTTTTCTGCCCTCTTAAGATGCCTCATTAAAGATCCTATTGGCCAGATCAGATCATATCATACAAACAGCCGCAAGACACAGACTTACTTAACTCCCTGTCAGCACTGGTAGACCGTAGAAACTAGCTAGAAAAAGTAATGATATTTAGCCTAAGTGCATGTGTTAGAAATTCTGAATTATGTTTATTTATCTATTTCATACTTTTTCGTTTTGAATTCTCATGTAGAAATGTCCGCAATTAATAGATGTTGAGATAAAATGAATCAAGAAGCGGCATGGCTTTTAAGTAATTATCAGCAAAATTTCAGTAGCCTCTTGTTAATGAGGGAGGTAGTTAATATTTTATGAACATTTTAAAACTCTCTTCTTCATGCTAAAATTATGCTTGGTGGTCAATGCCCTTTATTGTAAAATGCCACAGTCTAAAACTCACGCCACGAGTGTTCAGTTAAATATTCAAACTAGGGTGTATTTCTATGAAGAAAATCCTGTGATTGATGAGCGGCTCCGAGTTTCAAAACAATATGCGCTGATTGCAAAAACGTTTATCCACCGAAAAAGCATTCAGTTTACACAAAACGATTAGAAACAACTTCATGGGTCAGATGCACCTGATAACAACCTCTATCTACGATTTCCTAATAATTATGTTTGTTTATCTATTTCATACGTTTTCGTTTTGAATTCTCATGTAGAAAAGGTTGACATTGAATGTCAACGATTAATAGATGTTGAGATAAAATGAATGAAGAGCCGGCATGGCTTCTAAGTAATTATCGGCAAAATTTCAGTAGCCACTTGTTAATGAGGGAGGTAGTTAATAAATGAGGGCCATTGTAGTTAAATATTCAAACTAGGGTGTATTTCTCTAACGAAAACACCGTATATAATGAGCGGCTCCGAATTTCTAAACAACATGCGCTGATTGCGAATAAGTTTCTACCATGAAAAGAGTTCAGTTTACACAAAACGATGAGAATCAACGACTTCATGGGTCAGATGTACATGATAACCACCTTTGATTGCACACGGTGGATGATGGAAGTTATCTTAGATTTCTTGAAAGAGAAGGATAATCATGCAAAGAAATATTCCATGAACGATAAGAAAAGTGAATAGCTGTTATGTTTCTGTTCCAAAATTCCCATGAAGGCGCTGGGACTTATCATTCATGGATCATTCTTTTTAAAGGTGTCAACCTTTTTGCAATCGAATATATATATATCTATATATAGAATAAAATCCCCCAGTGAGTGAGCAATCACGAAACAGGCTTGTCGGGATAAAAACGTAGTCGCCGTACTTTTCTTGGTGATGCTCAACTTTATGTTTTTTGGAGTCTTTCAATTATTTATGAAGTCAATATGTTTACTGTCGATACCTATTCTTTGTCGACTTTGTTGGTTTTCAAATAAGTCTCTCTGCAGACATTGATAGCCTTAAAAATAAAGCTTGACGATCTCTCGTGAATCCATCGTAGAATATGGATATCTACTCTGAATTACCCTGTAAATTCGCATTAGAAATGCCTATAATGATTGAAGAGATGCTGTTTTTGCTGTAGATATTTACTACCCGAGGCTATGAAGTTCTCTCTCCGAACCAAGGGGAGAGAAAATTCCCTTTTTGAAGATAATAGAGAGGTGGTCGTTCTTCCCGATATCTTATACATGATGCCTGTCTGATTTCCTTGGTCAACCTGGTAGAACACAGCATAGTTAATAGTATGCAAGTTTGATTAGGAAGTCCAACAGATTTCTTTGATAGAGGCCTTTTTCAGAATTTTGGTCTTGACCTTGCATACTCTTCAAACCTTTCCATTCATGTTAAATAAACTTACCAAATGTGATATTTCAATACTTTATTCAGTCCCAGTGTGAGAACACAAAAACATCAGACTGTGCTCGGTCAGAGAGCACCTAACCTGAACTGAGGTACTATTGTCTTCTACCCAGTCGTTTATCTTTCGCAAAGAAAAGAAGGAAAACAAATAGTGCTCATACTAGTGCTGCGTTTCCCTTCTCACTGATGAGTTCACATTTAATTACGTTCCATGTTTTGGAGAGTGCTATTCTTCTGTTAAGCTAATTACGTGTTTTCTCTACAAGATAAAGCTACTTGTTTTGGAAATATAACCAAAACACTCCGTTTTAATTATCATGGTTCTTTCTGAATATTTCTGAAGATTATGTCTAAAGAAAATATTTATCATAGAAATTAACCACGAAAACTAAATCACGAGTTGTCTTAGTCTGGTACTCATTTTGTTTCTTCAGCTGGTGGTTTTATTTTAGACTTTTCAGAACTTTTGAGACTCCCAATTTGAGTGAAAACAGAAGAGCTTTCCGGGCCTGTTAAGTTACCGGAACCTTCGTGAATTAGGAGGCCTCTGGAGTTAGGCTCATTAAACATTCGAATCCCCGTTTGCCATCTCTAAATTTTCTTAAATTTAGCGAAGATGGCATGCGCAGGTGTCTATCATTCTCCTATTTGATCGAAATATAAACAAAAAAACCCATCACCACACTACGTCAGTTACTAACCAACGTTAAAGACAAGGACGAACCGAGGAACAGATAGGGAGCGATCATATAAGATCAATTGCTCCGATTGCCAAGCCTCCTGCATGGGAGAGACTGGCAGAAACCTCGCAAGAAGACTGACTGAACACAGACGGGCGACGAGGAAAGGTGATGTCAACAATCACATTGCTGAACACCATCGACTTACGAACCACAATATTGACTGGGACTCTGCAGAATGCCTGAACCTGCAGCACTAACTACTTTCAACGAATGATTCTGGAAAGCTGGTTTACTAACTTAGAACAAACTCCCCTAAACGGGTGTCAACTACTACCGGCTCCTTACAAACGACTCATTTACGACATTAACATTACAAACGAACAGAACAGAACGACTGGCTAACTTTACCGACGGATCCGGCGAAACAGACCAATCACGACCGACTTACGCTACTTGAGTCTTACAGCCAATATCATCACGGCAAAACTGACCACTCATTTTACACGAACTGGACTAAGAACATTCTACTGACAACAACTATTTACTTGACTCTGATGATGACTTCAGCACAGGTTGTCGAAACGTCAGTCACCACCACCGACAACAGTCCTTCTRGAGGACTAACTCACCCGGACGATCACACTACACTTTCACATGTTACCTCCGGGTTCCAAGCATTTACTGCAGAAAAATAATTCTCGAATACTGCAAATGGAACAGCATGACTTATTACTTGGTGTTTTGTTTATTGTGTTGTTTCATCGTATCTTTAATAAGCACACCATTGATTTTCTCCATAATTAAAATAGATGCCATTGTTAAAAAAGCTACACAGCTGAGACTAAACAATTACAGTCGAACCTCCACTAACGGCCACCTCTCTACAATGGCCACCTCTCCACAACGGCCACTTTTTCTGGTCCCGGCGGGTTTTCCGTACAATTCATTTAACCTCTCTGCAACGGTAATCTCTCCACAACGGCCACTTTTTCTGGTCCCGGCGGGTTTTCCATACAATTCATTTAACCTCTCTGCAACGGTAACCTCTCCGACAACGGCCACTTTCTTCTGTCTTCAAGGTGGCCGTTAAGGAGAGGTTCAACTGAAACTTCATAACAAAGCTCGATGATGTTCTATAATTATAATAAGCTGAATACTGACGCGCATTTTGATTGGCTCTTACTAATGATTTACTGGGAGGATGTATGCATGGATGACATCACCATCATGAACAACATTTAACTTTTTAGTCAAATAAATCAGATAAATTCCATGTTGCCGAGGGTTTGTACAATATAATATCATGGGAGACGTTAAAATGAAGTTAGAGCATCAGTAATACACATGGCTGCGCCTCGTGTGGCACTTTATTGGTCTTACCACATTTGACGTCATCTGTGATCTGTTACTGAACAGACGCCTGGCATTAATTATGTCCAATGTATTAACATCCTTTCTGATGTCATTTCAGTCGCGTACTAAAAACTTTGGACTCCAGTTTATCAAATTCTTCTTGTGTTGTGAGAAGAAGACTTCGCATTACTTTAAGTTAGGCCCGAATCGTGTCTCTCTCAGTGTGCATTTCTTTGTTTGTGGCCTCTTCCGCCGAGAAAATTCGCAAATCCTTAAATGGTCATCCTCCTTCCATGATAAAACAAATGTTTGTTAAAAATGTTAAGATTCTCGTTGTTCCTAACGGTATCTGAAGTCGTTGCGATCACAGGATGTATTGAATCAGTTATCTTCGTAGACTCCTTTATTTTCAAAACTTTTATCATTCGTATCAAGTACAAATCAGTGACTAACCCTTACTTAAGAGAAATAAGAGACATAGTATAACTACAGAGACATGGCAGTGCTTTCCACAAGGATGCAACTGGAAAAGTATGCTTAAGAATCTTTCAGTTTTCACGTTATATCGTATTTTCTTTTGCCTTTCTTCTTTGAATTTTCAAGTTAGCTATAAATTGAGCCTATTATTTTGAAGTGATTTTTTTTCATAGACGTTCTTTAGGTTCTTATTTTCTAATGATATATGTCCATACGTTATCTTCATTATTGATGCTGCGCAAATGAATATACTTGTATGGTTTATGCTCAATATAAGTTCTCTATTTATGAATAAATTCATCTAAGCATAGAAGGTTCGAGTCTTCTGCATTAATCTGTCCTATTAAGACGCTTAAATCAAGCCTATCTCTCACCCTTCTATTTTCATTTTCGCTTGCAATACTTTGAATCGTTGAGCCA